CACTTACAGAGGCATTCCTTTTAGTCCTTCCAGTCCTCCCGCTCTACTAAGGGGAAGATAACAGTTGCTTATGAAGGGGACCAAGGAAAGAGTCTCACTGCCGTGGGGGTGCCTGAGAGCGGCCTGGTAACAGTTCTTGGGTTGGGGGCTCTATTGAAAAATCACAGGCTTTATTTTTTAAAAAACGCAGCCACGATTGGTTATTTACATAGTAAAATAACCACTAGAAGGCATTCTGCTGCTCCTGCTCTTAGATTTGTTCTCTGTGTATTTGTAATCTGAATATACTGTGAAAGTTGTGGTGGGCCTACTGCACTTGAAGGCATTTTTAACAGTAACATTTTTTTATTTCAGAGCAGATGGATCAAATTTGCAAAATACAGGAATGTATTTCTAAAGGTCGCAGTTATACTGAGACATATCCTTCTAGTCCATTTTTTAAGTAACGAATACTTTTTAACGTAATTGGTATCATACTTTATGTACTATTTTACAAACTTTTTTCACTTAATGATATACTCTGGATGTTTTCCCACATCATTATATGATACATTTCTAGATAATTATTAATGGCTGTATCACATTCTAATCATAATCTCTTATTTTTAGAATAAAAAGCATTATTTTTATTATGCTTTATTCTAGTCATTGCCAACTATCCCCTCCCTAAAAGTAACCACCCTCATGAATTTGATGGTAATCGCTCTGCCTTTGGAGTTTTAGTATCTAAGTTTTATCTGCCAACGCTCTTTTATGCTCTTATTTTAATGCCTTTAAAAAATTCTATTTCCTCCATTGCCCATCTTTGTGTAAAATGGTTCTTAGTTTAAGTAAGATGCTTTGAAAATTCATATAGACAAATCTTCCTACTCATATAGAGTTCTTTCCTTGGGGTAATTTTTGCTAGGCTGAAACATGAATATTTTTAAGGTTTTCAATGCACTAGAACTCATTGTTCATCAATAAGATTACACTGATTTACAATCCCACCAGTGTTTGTAAATATCCACTTCTCTTCCTTCCTAATACTGGGTTATAGCTTTTTAAAAATTTGATAATAAATTATATGCATACATTTAGGGCTGCTTGTGTTCTTTCCTTTGTGACTCACCTGAGCATAGGTTTTGTTAATCTTTCCTTATTCCTTGTTTTTGTATTGCATTTGGAAATAAGTTCAATTGTTAAGATAACAATTCAGACAGCACCCGGATAGTCTTTATCCAGACTCGCCTATTGTTAACATTTTACCCCGTTTTCCTTGTGTTTCTTTTTTTTGTCCCTTTCTTCTTCCCGTCTCTGTCTCTACCACCTCCCCTCATGCACATAAATATACTTTTTCTTCGTGAGCCATCTGAGGATAAGTTGCATACAACATGGCCCTTTACCTCTAGATACCTCAGCCTGTCTTTCCTCAGGACAGAGATATTTTACATAACCACAGTTGAATAATCAGTGTCATATCTTTACATATACTGTAATATTTTTGTTTGCCATCAGCTTTGTGAAGGTCGGTTGATGTCTTTCATAGCATTTTCTCTTGTAGTATAGCATCCAGTGTAGGGTCTATTGAATATTTCTTTAACCTGCTTTAATCAGGAATATTTGCATAATCTTTCTTTATCGCTTTATAACTTTAACATTTTTGAAGGACGCAAACCCCTGTATGCCTTTATAAAAATTAATTTTATTGGTACATTTTAGATATACACAATGATCACACTCGTCATATGGGAGTTGTACCTGTACGTATCTTGGTTCTTCTTTTTTCCCATCCCCTCCCGACCTCTCTTCTGTTCCTAATTTGCAAAAACTTTGTTTCCACTTTTTCCTTCTGTTCTCTTTTCTTCTTTTCTCCTCCTTCCTTTCCCTCTCCCCTGCTCTTGTTCCCACTCCCATGTGAACATTTTCTTCCCCCTTCCCAGTAGCTGTTATATATTTCTGTCCTTATTTACCCTTTCAGTTTCTTACATGAGAGAAACAATGCAATATTAAACATGTGTGTGTAATTCCTTATGCTTTTTTAAAATGAAAATTTCCTCACTTTATTTTGGTCTAATATTTCCTGGTGATTGAATTAAGGGCATGTATCCTCAGGCAAGAAACTTTACAGATGGTTTAGGGGCAAAGGGAAAGTTCTCGTTTGCTCTCTGAAGTGATCTCACAATGGATGAGTTACTAATGTGCACAAGGATAATCAGAGCAATGAGATTACCCTATACCTTGCTTAGTAGGGAAGAGGGAGATGAGGGACATGAATATTTTGAGGGGTAGTAAATGATGTTAGGTGAATGAATGGGTTGATTCCCAGACAATAGTTAATAAATGGCCCCCTGTGGGACTGAGTGGGTTCAGGAAATGGGCAATCGTTGTCCATTTGTGGCAATATTTGTCCAGGTGTGGTTTCAATCTTTAATCTTCCTTCCTGCAGATATGAATTTAGTTAATGAAAACTCAAGGCAGGGATCAAAGGTAATTATTTTCTTCTTTGGCAGCCAAGTCTTTAAGCAGATAAGGGCACATCAGAGTAGAGTTTCCTTTAGTACCTGCAGCTCTCCAAGCGCTGTATTTTGGGGGTATATCATTTTCTGAGCTCCAACTGTGGTGATGTGTCCTCGGGGGATCAGCTCCAGAGGCCTGTGATAACCACACGTCTCTCACTGGAGATGTTAACTTTGTTCACCCGGTCCAGGCATTGCTCAGTTTTTCTATTATATATTAGAGGGGCTTTTCCCTTTCATTTAGTAAGGGGTCTAGAAGAAACACTTTAAATAAATGCAAATTCATTACTTCTCACCAAAATATAGCAACTATTAATGATTTTTGCCTAATCCAATCCTCACTATAGTCGGTGGTGATTTTTCCAACTCCAGACCATCTTCCCCATTTGTTAGTTCTTAGCACTCTAGTATAAGCAAGAGCCTTCTTTCCTTCCTTCTTTCCTTCTTTCCATCCTGCCTTCCTGCCTTCCTTCCTTCCTTCATTTTATAGACTCCTTCATTCCTTTTTAATGTTTTATAATTTATACTTAAGATTTGGGTACTCAGATCATCCCAGGCTCAATGAGTAGGAGCCTCATTCAAACGGGTTATTCTGATGTTGGAATCTGATCCCGCTTTCTTTTATAAGCACTTCCTTACTTTCTTATAGAAGCACTTCCTTATTTTCTGGCACAATAGGATGTTTCAAGTGTACCCACTATGCCCCAGCCTTGGAACTGCTATTTCACTATGAAGCCCTGGCTCCTTTTGATGGGGACTGGTGTTAGAGGCCAAGATCAGAAGCATGCTCATGTACTACTCGATTGTCGTGAGGGTTTTATGGGTATACACATATATCATGCCTATCAAGTTGTGTATTTCAAAAATGTGCAGTTTATTATATGCCAGTACAGTACCTTAGTAGAACCACTTTACACAAAGAGGGGCAATGGAGGAAATAGAATTTTTTAAAGGCATTAAAATAAGAGCAAAAAAGAGCGTTGACAGATAAAACTTAGATACTAAAACTCCAAAGGCAGAGCGATTACCATCAAATTCATGAGGGTGGTTACTTTTAGGGAGGGGATAGTTGGCAATGACTAGAACCAGGTCATGAAGATCTTGTAGAGTACCTGGTAAAGTTTTATTTTCAACCTGAATAGTAGTTAGCAGAATGTTTTCCTAATAATAATCAATCATATTTATATACTTGTTTTATGCAATTTTCTGTCTTAAAATTTGTTAAATTTTGCAATCAAATGTTTTAAAATGAATGTTTACATGTTTGTAATTTTTATTATCATTTATTAGAAATTAAAATCATTCTGCAAGTAAGGCAGACTCATCAGTAATCTAATGATATATTTCGTACTGCGGTTTGTAAGCTATTGCGGAGTGTGTTCAGAAAATGACTTCATATTATCAGTGAGCATTCTAAATTAGATTAGAATATAAATCTTAGTGTATTAATGTTTTGATTATTGTTATAAAACTTAATCATATAAGATCAAGCCAAATGTTTGATTCTTTTATATAGTTTGTATTTCTCTGCTACAATATCTCATCTTTTTATTAATTACATATTTTCCTTTATGTCTTTGAGAAAGGTTATAACTGCTCCTTCAAAACCCTGTCTACTGATTTCAACATCTACTCATCTCAGAGTCTGTCCCTACTACCTTTCTCTTGAGAATGATTCATACTTTTCTGTTTCTTTATATACAGTTAAATAATGTTTTACTTTAGTCTGGCTATTGTGAGTGTTATGTTGTTATGGAGGCTCTGGATTCTTTTTTATTCCTCCCCCAAAAATGTTGATGGTGGTAAGAATGGTCCTTTAAGCGGGCAATTAACTTGACTGGCCTCAAAATACAAATTCAATCCCTAGGGCAGCAGCTCAATCTCAGTTTAGTTCTATCTGTAACTAGGCGCTTTGGAGTCTGCTCTGTGAGGTGGTTAGTCTGCGGTTCAGCCCGGATTATATGCAGAACAGTCTTTGGGACTCCCTTTCTGTGTCTCTCCCCTATTCAGTCCCCCTTGGCTCTCTGGCAGCTGTGATTTCCCCCGATACGCTGACCTCTGATTCTGTGGGCCAGGAAGCTTGCCACCAGTTGCAGTTTCCCTCCGCGGTTCTTACAGGGACCTGCCCTCAGGCTTAAAATTATTTTAAAAACAACCTGATTCTGTGCTGTCATTTCATTCCAAGTGCCAGCATTACTCCAGAATCGGCTTTTGGTCAATTTCCAGTGCCTTCATATAGGATTTTGGCTTTCCATTTGGGGTTTTTAAAATTTTATTTTATTTTTTAATGTACCCAGAGTTTATTCTTTCTATTTGCATGTAAATCTGATAGGAGCTAACATATCTGCTATAGAGTGACTTGAATGTTTATTTCCTTAAAGAAATAATAATATGAAGCTGTTAAAATTCATTCTACAGATGAGTTAATGATATAGAAAAACACTCATACTTTAACTACTTTGTATTTTTTAACTAACTTGATATACTTTCATATTATTTTAGGATTAAATCTAATGAAGCTGATGACTGTCAAAAAGAACTTAGAAAATTGAAGTTTGAGTCCATTATCTCCGAGTCACGGTAGATACTGCAAATTTTTAAATTAATACTTATACAACCTCATTTGAAGCAATATTTTAAATGATATTTTATTTTGAATGTACTTTTTCTTATTTTTTACATCTATAATACCTAATTCAGATTCATAAGATCTTGTAGCTTTTCACTGCTTTTGCTTCTGCTTCACAGAACATGTTTATTTTTTTAAAGTTACAGTTTAATTTTTATAAGTTACAGTTTGAGTTTATAATTTCAGGAAGATTTCCATATATCTTTGGTGAACATGAAAGCATATTATCTAATGCAAGCTGGTGGGATTTGTTTCTGTTCCTTTTTAGGCACACTAGGTTGCTTAAAGACAAAGAGGACTCTTTAATGACTTGTCAACAAATATATAAAACTTTACAGGAAGAGCTGTCTATAAAGGAGAGGCAAGAAGAAGACACAAAGAGAAGAATTCAGCTCACTGAAAGTGAATTGCAGATCGCCAAAACTCTGCTGACTCAGACAAAGGAAGAGGTCGTAGCACTGAAAAGTGAAAGGTATAATCAAGAATAATTCCTTACAAAAAAATTTTTTTTTGGTACCAGGAATTGAACACAAGACCTGGTGCTTGCCAGGCAGGCACTGCACCCCTGAACTATATCTCTTGTGCAAAAATGTTTTCTGTTTAAATTAATATTCCATATATATTTGAAACATCATTGTCCTACATATTATATCAATGAAATTATAAGACTAAAGACATGTTCAACCTCAAGGGCATTGGATCTCACTAACTCATTTTACAAGTGATTAAACTGAATCCCAGAATAGTTAAATGACTTACATAAAGTGTCAGTCAGCTAGTGAGAGTAGGGGTGGGACTCGAGTTGCAGTTGACATCAGATTTTTAATGAGAAAAATCACATCATACTTGTAGTACTAAAGTTCACTTCGGCCAGTGATTGGTAGATTCTATCATTTTTCAATAGGACATGATTTTTTTTAAATCAATTATTGTTTTTGGTGGGTGCCGGGTATTGAACCCAAGGTCCTGTGCATTCTGGACAAGGGCTTTTATACTACTTTTCCTTTTTATTGGGTTCTATTTTTCCTCTCTCTTCCTTATCAGTCATCACATTTTTTAAGAGCTACGAAAAGCAAAGATATCTCCATAGGTTGCACTGAGGATACTAAGAAGTATATTGGTCCTGCTTTCCAAGATATTTGTCATTTAATTTGTCTTAAATTAATCTTACCTGTACAATTTCAACTGTGCCTACTTTCTGTTTTCATTTACCTTGTCTGTCTTTGTTCATCTTTTCCAAATCCTTTTGTTTGAAATGTGCTTTGTTTTGCTTTTTTTTTATTTTAGTTTTTGGAATTGAACTCAGGACCTTATATTTGCTAGGCAGGTGATTGTGCCATTGAGCTATATCCCCAGCGTGAAATGTGAATATGAGATATAGCACAAGTTTTAGTGTTTTTATTTTGGGTTCTAAAATCTGATCATCTTTAATGTAAGAGATTATTCCATTTATATTTATTGGTATAATTATATTTTGGAGGAATACAAATGCTATAAGGACAGGACTTTTGTATTATTCTCTGTGCATAGAAAACACATGATAGACTGTTTTTTTATTCTTCTTATCATTCTTATCTTTCTGAATAATTCTTATATTATTAGAATACCTCATTTCTATTGACACCAGGTTAATAGGCTTAACTTACTCATATGAATGCTTTCTGTCTCCGTCAGAGCAGTCAAGAAGATCTGTCTTTGCTCAGATGTGTCTCCAATTCTTTCTGAGGATGGTTGTACTTCAGTATAGGAAGTATTATTTGGGATCAAATATAAAGTAAAATAACCTTCTATTTAAATCATCTCTGACTGCAATTGGAAGAAGGGAAACTTATGAATGTTCTGATGGTTAGTAATATCAATATAAGAAATATAGAGCTTTCTCATAGGGCTGCTTTGAAATAGCACACTCATTTGGATGTGTGTGTGTGTGTGTATTGCCATTATTTTTAAAAATTCACTATGATTATTATCGTACTTTCTGTTATAGGCACCAAAAGAGGACTTTTTTTTCCAGCTTTTGGCAAATAATAATATTACCAAATGACCTCTAACATTGCCAAGTCACCTTTCTGTATTTTTCTTAGATCCTGGCCCTGTTCTTTCTTTGTGCTGTGTGCTTTCCTCTATTCAGGAGCAAACATTGTATGCTCATTTGGTGGCGCTCGGTTTACTGACCTGATACCTGACATATAGGAAAAATAGCCATGTACTTATTGACCAGAAAGCTGTGGTATATCCATAGGATTACTCCTAGACATAAGCATTGCCCTTTTCCTTTGTTCTAGGTTACTTTCAAGTTTTTGTCTGCCTGTTCTCTACTGCCTCCCAGAGCTTGGCACACACGTCCACTCAATAAATATTTTTTGAGCGACTAAACGAAGGAATGAATTGATCACTTGCTTTGGCTATTTTGGCCCATCGGTCAGTTTTTTGTTAAGCATTTATTATATGCCAGAAACTATGTCCCCTGGGGATACAGTAGTGAAACAGAAGCTTTCCTCACCAAGTTTATGTTCTAAGGACAAGGACAAATAATAAGGAAAAAGTAAAGAACTACCTTTAATAATTATACATTAGGAGAATGGATATGGAACAGGTCAAGGAGTATGTATTGCAGTGGAAACAGGAAAGAAAATGGTCCTAAATGAGACTTCTAAAATAAGGCAGGAAAGCTACAAGAGGTAGGAAGCAGGCCGCGAGCCCAGGTGATTGCATCTGGCATCACAGCAAGGAAGCAAGGCAAGTGGCGACCAGGTTGCTCAGGGCCTTGCAGGCTTCTGGGAGTTTGACTGTCATATTCAGGGCGGTGAAGAACGGCCATTGGAGGGATTTCAGCTGAAGTGTGATGAGGCACAGTCGAGAGATAAGTCTGACTGCTCAGTGGAGAAGGCGTAGGCAGGGGACGAGTCAGAACTTTTTGTGTTTTGTTTTGATAAAGGATTTTTATGTAGGTAAGCCTAGGAGACATAAGAAAAGTGAGACTGCTTAGTTCCCACCCGTGCCAGTTTCTGTGGGTTATTTCAGTGCCTCTTGCCAGTGGGTGGTAGGAAAATAGCTAGGGTCCAATCTGTAGTAAGCCAAAGGGTTGAAAAGACATCCCGAAGAACAAAGGACTCTGGAAGCTTCTGGAATTGCCGCCCAAGCCTACCTTGAAACTTTGTCTTCTCCTGGCTCAGAGACCACCTGTTAACTTGCCCCTTTCCTGTCTGTTTTGGTTCTTTTTCCTTCTCTCCTGCAATCCATAGCAGATATTCCCTAAAGTTCGGGAATGAACATAACTTTCCTTAGTAAACTGACCCTGCCTCTCAGCTGAACAAACTTGCTCTTGGAGCTTTGATTTGAAATGCTAATTGGGTCTCTAAATAGAAGTGCCCTTAAGCAGTTGGAAGAAGAAACCAGCCTCCCAAAGAAGTTGGGTTTAGGGAACACGAAATACATATAGAGATGTTTGACCACCCCAGGGAGATTCCAGCTGAGTAGGTGGAAGCAGTGTCTAGGAATTTGTTGCACTGCTGGGTTCAAAACCATTGCCATGAAAGTATTGCAGCCAACCAGGCTGCCAGATGTACTCACCGGAGGCAAAGCCCAGCTTCTCCCAGCGGCAGTGTGTGCGTTTGTAAATCCAGGCATTCTCAGATAATCACCCTCCTCCCCTACTCCCCACTCCTCAAGACAATAGAGCCCTTGCTGAGATCACAAAATGTGCAAGTTAGACACTCTGTACCTTCAGAAGAGGACAGAAAGATAAAAAGCCAGAACTGACCCCAGGGGAGAAAAACTGGCAGAACTGAGTTTGGAGGGGGAAGTGAATTTATAACCAGGAAACAGTCACCCATTACTACTACACATCTATTAATTATGCACTGCTTCCTCCCTGACGCTCAGCTGAAGAAGCAGTAGTCAGAAGAGGCCTCACTGAAGGAAGTGAAGGAGGTCTCTGGATGGTAGGAATCGCAGCAGAGAAGGTCTGCCAGGTGTGCTCACACGGAGTAGCTGCTGAGAGGCCTCCTTTGTGGGTGAGGATCCCGGCAGTAAGACAGAGGGAGAGCACCAGAAAAATGTGTTCTTTAAATTCTCTGCAGAGAGCCCTCAGGCTCAGCTTCCTGGGATACAAGATCTCTGTGACCAGGCCTGGAACTCTTTCCAGAACCCTGAACGTAGCTCAGCATGCTGTGGATTAAATATGTTCTGTGGGCTGGTCCTGGAGCCTAATTCCATTTTATGGAAAACTACTTCCATAGTAAACATGTGTTCTAAGTGTCCCATAACAAACTTATACATATATTTTATAAAGGCACATATTTTATAAGCTTGAAAACTTGCTATTGTAACAGAACAGTTTGTGCACTAGCATGTGACCTACTATTACACACCCGTTTACAATCGCTCTCTCTAGCTGGGTGTGGTGGTGCACGCCTGTAATCCCTGCACTTGGAGACGGAGGCAGGAGGATTGTTGCAAGTTCAAGACCAGCCTGGGCTACAAAGTGAGCTCAAGGCCAGCCTGAACTGCATAGCGAGACCCTGTCTCACAAAGACAAAAATAAATAAATAAATAAATAAATAAATAAATAAATAAATAAATAAAATACAGTCACTCTCTCACCCTTTGCATTCTCAAATGTTATATTACCCCTACGCTGGTAAACTCAAGAAAAAGTATAGCAAAAAATTAGGATCTGTTTTCTCATATCATATTGAGAATGACAAAAAGCATTGTTAGAGGAAAGGCTTAGTTATAATTAAACTTAGGTACAAGTTGCTTCCCTGTGACTTATTCTTTGAGATAAATAATGTGTCTGTAACTGACCTCTAATCCTATCTTTACTTTACTTACTTGGTCCCTGGGCCTCAGAGTGTATTGTTTACTCCTTTTACCCCTCCCCACACTACATTAACTTCTCTTTTTTCTTCTCTGTTACTTTTGGATTGAAAACTATAAACCTTCACCCCAGAAAAATACACATAAATCTAGCACGTTACTATAGAGGCACCTGGGGTCTCCCATTCCCTTTGTATGCCGCGGCCCGGTGGTTACACATACCTGCCTCCTCCTCCTACACCTTTCCCTCCCTCCCTTCCCTCTCCTCCCCTCCCGCTTCTCCTCTACCTGTCTCTGGCTCTCACACATAATCGGCATGTCTCACAGTCCTGCGGGGCCCTTTGATGTTTCCATGGACGTTATCTCGTTTTGTCTGCACACTGGCTTATACAAGATAAGGTCTGCAGTGGAAGTGTACGCCCCCAGCTTCCTGCCACAGAGGAGGGATGTATTTCCTTGCTCCTGTGTTCCATCTCCTCACCAACCCGAGTCCATAGGTTTGATCCCAGGCTGAAAGAACACTTTTTCTAATTCACCAACCCAGAGAGGAAGCCACTCCCAATTTACCAAGGTTATGGCCCTCACCTATGAAGCAAGTGTCTTTTTCCTGATTTTCTAGAGGCGGACATTAAGGTCAACCAAGGTTAAATT